TGGTTCGTCAAATATTTTATTTCGAGTCAGAGTTTTAACCACTGGAATTGTCAAAATAGAATATGGGACAAGATATTGTTTTATTTGAAATATAAAAATATTAAAAAAATATATAATTTCATAAAAATATTGATAATTTTTATAAAGGAAATAAGACTACATAAAAATAAACAATGTGATAAAAAGATATAATTAATAACTAATAGCTATAAATATATTAACAAGTAAATAGTAAATTTTGTATAGCTCTAGTGATAATTTACTTTTAATTTAAATTTAAAAATTAAATGAATAATATATTTTTTATTTGATGAATACTTTTTTAATTTACATCCAAACTCGTCTTTACGAATCTACCTATCATTATATAAAAGGTTAAACATTTACTACACTACAAATACTATGTAAAAATTTTCATTACTCAAAAAAAATCGTAGTTGTAAATTTTGACTTTTTTCTTTTATCATTGACTATTTTTTAGAAAGACTCTTAATAATTTATTTATTATTAATTTCATTTTAACAATACATTAAAATATTTGTAATTATAGACATGTATATCCATAAATACCAACTTCTTTAAGAGTATAAGAAAAGAAAAATAATTGTAACGAAAAAATTAAAGTACATTAAAAATAAATCAAATTCTCATTCATAAACTCAAAAAAATGTACAAAATCATATAATTAACCTAAGATAAATTATTAAAATTATTGTTATATGTGGTTAAACAATTTTTTTGTGATCCAATTTGATTAGCCATGAAAAATTATCACCGCCCGTTTATAATATCTAATAAATTATTAATAAGCATATTACAAATACATTAATTCATTTACAAAATATCTCCACTCGATTCTGCTCTTTTTCATGTCATCGTGTTGATTGCGTAATTTGTGAATTCGTTTTTACCTTTTAAGACTTTAATTTATTGTTATATAAATATGCATAAAATATGAATAAGTAATAATTCTACAGTTCATAATTTTAATAAATTATGTATTAATTAATGTGTTTGCAATATATTTATAAATATTTACTACATAAATCACTGTTTGTTTTATTTCTTAAATTAAACTTATTTGAAAAAAAATGAGCCTATGCGCCAACAGATTTCACTGGGTTGAGTTACTACTCAGTGTATTGGATCAATTTTATTTGAGAAATGCTATAAGTACATAATATTGTACATATAGGTGTACATAACACTCATATTGAGTAGGACCTACCAAAAATAAAAAGGAAAATGCTATAGGTACATAACAGTGTACATAAAGGTGTACATAACATCACATGGAGTGGGCCCTATAAAAAAAAAATCAAGTGGACCCCACTCAATGTGAGTGTTATGTACATCTCTATGTATATTTATTATGTACTTGTAGCATTTTTCAAATAAAAAATCAAGTGGACCCCGCTCTATGTTAGTGTTATGTACACCTCTATCTACATTTAATATGCACTTGTAGCAATTTTTATTTTATATTCTTTGTCGAATAGTCCAAAAACATGATAATTTGTGTTCGATCCTGGTAAAACGTGTTGTGGATCAATTTGGCCGGCCTAAATTGACTATTAAAATTAAATATAAATTTTAATATTAAAATTACTTGGTTACGAAATATAAAATATAATCCCGATAATCAAATCATAATCACTTTTATTTAATATTTTCGAAAGCGTTGAGCTTAAGAGGCAATTTCTTATACTTCATAAGCTTATATGGCATATATTTGTGCTTCGTATTACAAATGTAAAAGTTTAGTTGACTATTAGGCTTGAGAATTACCATAAACTATTTTTTTTTTTTGTTTTCTTAAATTGCCATATACAACTCTTACCATTTCTTTCTTTAATTCATATATTAATAATCATAAATTAGTATTCTTTTTTTTTCATTTTTAAAACTTTATGAATTTTTTTTTATTATTTATTTTTTTACATGATATATCACAATAATAATATTTTAATGATCTTCAATTTATTATCCATATTGCATATATAAATAAAAAATAATTTCATCTATATTTATAAACAAAACTAATTTTATTATCAAATTCATTTAAAAATATCAAATAAAAATATAAATTATTATATAAAAATAATATCAATCTAATGCATTAATACAACAAAAAATAATCAATTTAATATGTTCTTTTCTGTAGATTTTGGATAAGATATTAAAATTGTGTATCACATAAAATACATTATAAAAATATTATTAATAAATCTAAATAAACTACATAATACATTGAATATTATTATGTTGTTTAAAACAATAAATATAAAAGAATATCATAGTTTAGTTAATAAAATAGTTTTACTTTTCATAATTTAAAAAATAAGACATTTCTGCGTAAATTAATATTCTAAATTATTAAATATATATATCTTAAATTATTGAAAAAATAATAAATGAGAAACATTGACTCTATTAATATAATAATATATCATCACAATACAATAAAATTTGATTTATTTTACAAAATTCGAATCAAACATATGAATTTATAAATGATACATATTATTTTAATTTTCCAGTTATATATTATTTTTATATATTCATATACATAGTTGCACAATAAAAATATAAATTATTTTAATTTTGTATTGTACGAATATTGATATATTTAAGTATGTACACGGTTATCATTTCTGAGAACTTGTCCTGTATAATTATTATATATATATGTATATATATATATATATTATTTTAATATTATTTAAGTGACAAAAATGATCTTCTATATATATAAATGAGAAATGTTATATGTATATAATATTGTAAATAGGGGTATACATAATACTCACATTGAGTGAGATCGACCAAAAATAAAAAATCAAGTAGACCCCACTCTATGTAAGTATTATGTACACCTCTATGTATATTTATTATATA